CAGAATGGTGTCTCAGCCAGTCAGTGTTCGATCAGATTTGCACCAGGTGGGGCTCCCCCTCTATCGATCTATTTGCCAACGGCCAGAACACAAAGCGGGAAAGGTACTTCTGCCTGCAGAAGGACCCCAAAAGCGAGGGGATAGATGCGCTAGCCCAGCAGTGGGAAGGAGACCTCCTTTATGCCTTCCCTCCATTCAGACTACTGCCGAAGGTGATACAGAAGATCCAGTTGTCTCAAGCCAAAGTTATTCTGATCGCGCCATTCTGGCCCAAGAGATCTTGGTTCTCCCGGTTGAAGGAGCTCAGTTTAGCAGACCCTTGGATGATGCCACCCACACGCGATTTACTCACCCAGGGGAGGGTGATGCATCCTCATCCAGAAAGGCTGTCCTTAGCGGCGTGGCTTCTGAGCGGGACAGGCTAGCAGAAAAGGGGCTCTCGGCAAGAGTGGTCGCCACCCTCTTGGATGGCCGGAAGAGGTCGACGAACGCCTTGTACGACAAGGTCTGGAAGAAGTTTTCCGCCTGGAAGGTCAGAAACGAAGCACCGGGCACGCCCATTTTGCATACAGTTCTTGAATTCCTTCAAGCCGGGGCGGATAAGAATCTGGCCGCCAATACCCTCAAAGTACAGGTAGCGGCTCTGTCGAACTTTCTCGAGCTGAGGTTGGCGGCAGACCCATTAGTAATCAGATTCCTGAAGGCTATCTCCAGGCGCCGTGCCCCGTCCTTGCCAAAACTTCCAACATGGGACCTGGGCACAGTCCTGAAGAGCTTTCAGCGGGGGCCTTTCGAACCGCTGGATGAGTGTTCGCTCAGATCTTTGACTCTTAAAACCATCCTCCTCACGGCACTAGTTTCTGCCCGCAGGGTCAGCGAGTTGCATGCCCTTTCAGTGATCGAGCCGTACTGCACCATCTTATTGGATAGAATCATCCTCCGCACGGACGCGGCCTTCCTACCTAAGGTCGCGTCACACTTCCATAGATCTCAGGAAATAGTAATACCTTCCCTGGAGGCCGATCCGGGCAGCGCGGAGGACTATAGCAGGTTAGACGTTAGACGGTGTTTGATCACGTACATCGAACGCACAAAGACATGGAGACACTCGTCCCGGCTTTTCGTCCTATTCCAGGGGCCAAGGAAGGGGGACGGTGCCTCCAAGGGCACCATCGCCAGATGGATCAGGGAGGCAGTTTCGGAAGGTTACAAGTCGGCAGGCCTGTCACCACCGCCCGGCCTAAAAGCCCACTCCACGAGGGCCACTGCGGCCTCCTGGGCGGAAAAAGGGGGGGCCTCCCCCGGACAGATCTGCAGAGCCGCAACGTGGTCCAGTTTCGCCACCTTCACTAAGCATTACAGGCTGGATCTGATCGGCAGCAAGGACCAGGCATTTGGCAGGAAGGTCCTACAAGCAGGGTGCCCGCCCTAATGTACGTATTTCTATTCTACTCCTCTCAAGTGAGCTGTCCTAGAAGATGACTCGGGAAAACGCAGTTATTTACCTGTTAACTGTATTTCCAGGAATCTTCTAGGACAGCGTAACTCCCCCCCGATTACTGTTTGATCACACAATTATGTGCAGGTATGTTGCGAACCTATGGGGGATGTCTTTATTACCGGTTTTCTTCTTTGTTTTCTCCTAGGCCTTCGGTCATATTCTTATACTGGGGGCCAATGGGAGAGAGGACGCCTATAAAGGGAAAAAAAAAAAAGGTGGAGCGGGTGTTTCCTGGGAGGAGCCCTATCTCTCAAGTGAGCTGTCCTAGAAGATTCCTGGAAATACAGTTAACAGGTAAATAACTGCGTTTTATAGCTGAACTTTTTTAGATCCCTCTCTTTGTAATATCTCTTACTTGTTTCCTAGAGGGGCTCAGACACCAGACATAAAGAGTAATAGAAGGATTGGATATGGAAAATTCAGCTAAAAAGCCCTTCATTTCACCCTTGTACCAGTAGTTGGGGATCTCTTCAATGTGGTCAAATGAAGCAAAAAGGCACTGGTAAGGTAAAAGATCCATTTCCTACTCTTCAGCAGAGGACTTCTTAAAAGTTGAAGGATGTGCTCATTTGTAGTACCCATCACCAATTACTTTTTTCAATTATTTTGCAAGATATTAAACAGTTTGAGCATAAACAACTGTTGATCCCTACTTTCCATCTTATATTTTTATTTTGGGCATATATTTAGTATGCTTATTTATATTGCCAGCACTTGGATGTGCTTTTTAGCCATTCCAGTCTGAATTAAACCGTGCAGAATACCACCTGATTCAGTTCAATATATCAGCACAAGAAACAGTTTAATAAAAGCACCAATACAACAACATTAGCATTTTGTGTTTTTAATATATTAACAGACATTACTGTATAAATGACTTTGCCAGTGGTGGACGTTAGGCAACTAAAGGAAATAAAACATACAAACATGTTCATACAACTTCCTTGGCATCATTATTACTAACTTGCTCACTGCAGGGAATATCACAACAAATGTGTTGTCATCCCTTATTGCATTGAATTAAAAGAGAAACAATAAAACAGGATTTAAAGACACTGCCACTAAAAAAGACAAACTGTCAATGATAATTGAGCAGCAGATCACATGGGACATAATATAATCATCTGCAACACTGCAAAAGGATGTTATTTGATGGTGTCTGCCATGTCCATTTAATGTAATTCTGTCATGGTAGATTTCTATATTCCACAAATTACCTGCCACTTGTATGTACAGGACACAAGTACTCTACAAGCAAACTGGGCAGACCATAGGATATTATGCAGTGCCTTCAAAAGCCTACAGGAGGCAGCAGTGCTATGGATTCAATTGCTTAACATTAGGCCAAAGTCAGGCAGCAATATTCTGTATTTTATTTTTAAACTAGTCCAACCACGTACATGCCAATTTTAACAACTCTAGGTACATATTCCACTGTGGCCCAAATTATTTGAGCACCTCAGTTATACCTGTATGCTTTAGGCCATAAGGTTCCCTTAAGTGCAATATCATTACAGGAGTTACAAAACAAGTAACTTCAAAACAAATTAAACAACACACAACCGTGTGATCGAATTTAAAAAAAAAAAAAAAAAAAAAAACAACAAAAAAAGGCAGAAAGCTTTTCCTCAGGGACATAGACACACTCCGTTGGATTTAAATAACAGAAATCTAAAGTTTACTTTACTTTGCAGTCATCTTTCATTCAATAAAGTGTACCTGTCACTAACTAATGTGGAGGCAGCCGTTTTGATGGTCAAACCAATTTTAAATGAACTTGCTGTGTTCTAATCAACATTTGTTCATAGTACAAAATGGCTGCTTCCAATGTGTGTGTGAGGCAATGGTTACAATTTAAATAATTGTAAACTGCATGGTCTAAGAAAAAAAAAAAAAAAAAACAACTTTCTAAAATGATGCATACGTATACCTAAACTGTAGGAAGCTATAGGCTCTGTTAACTAAATGCTGTCTTGTTAAGGCATGTTTATTCAAACTACACGATACAAATGACACCTACAAATACAAGGGTATCCTGCAATAGAAAATGAATAATAATTCTTGGTAACTGAATATTGCTAGTCAGCACCTATTATATGAAACTAGTAAGGCAACAGCAGTGGTATATACTACAGTAATACTTTGTGTATCCATGGTCTATAGCAAGGTCACATGAGCACACAATCACTGAATCTCTGCCCTCATTCGCTTTCAGAGCACTGAAGAGGCACTAAGCAGCAGTTACTGTTCAGAGCTCTCTCTGCATACAATAAACATAAATACACATAAGAGGTAAATGATCTTGAGGATTTTCGATGTACTTCTCTGTGAACAGTGTGTACACACACTTGTGTTCATCATAGACAACAGTTATCTCTATGGTAAATGGTACCAAGGAGCTTAGAAATCCAGCAACACTCAGATGAAGGAGGATGCATCACAAAAGTCATGAGTAGGAGCCCTTACTGCTACCTTGTTCCTATACATGAAAGGCATTTTTATAAATATCCATGAAACTGTAATATTCTACCTATAGAATGTGACTCACAAGATCATCTATGGACTGAAGAATATCTAAAACTAAAAGATATCTAAAATTGAGGAATAAATACAAGGGTGCTTTGGAACAAATATACAGCTCTGAAATATATAAGGCAAAGTAGCCAATATTTGTGAGTGCACCAAAGTGTGAAAGAAACAAACCATTGGGTAATCTAATGGGAACTGAGCAGTGGCTGCAGCTTACAGGTCTATGATGAAGATAAAGCTGGGACTTTGGATGTGTGGGGTACATTTGAACATATGCTCGGGAGCCTATTCCAGCGCACTATTACACTTAGGCCCACTAGCTGTTCTGGGAAAAATATAGCTGCCAGATTTCTAATCAAAGTCAGGCTCTATTGCTATTGGCAAAGCTAGCTATCTGAACTGGAAGAACATTATTCATGAGAAAGACATATAGTTTATAGTTCTCCAGCAGCCATTTTCATTATCAAAATTGTCTGAAGGTAAAACAGCTACCTAAAGCTGCCAAACAAAGGCTTTGTCCAATGTCTCCAAATGCTCCATTGGGGGGAAAGAATCTGGTTGCTATAGGCAATAATCTTTATCAGACATTTCAGATCAGAATGCCAAGTATTACCTACCAAAGGTTTGTAAAAACAGCTGGGAAGCCATTGCTCAGAGGGACATCTACAATATAAACAGCTGGTTGGGTGAATGAAAACTGCAGGAGATTAATGGCAGGAAAATCACAGGGTGCAGAAAGCTAAATAAGAGGGCAGGACTAAATATTAACTGCTGCTAGTTTTGTGAGAAATTTCCATGTTTTATACAGCATAGTTAAAATGGCTGAAATTTGTTAAGACCTACGTTAATCACATTATATTAACTAGGAATCGTTACAGTAGCTGCAAGGGTGTCATTGCACAGACTCTGCTGTGCTTTCAATCTGATGTTGTATCTTCTGGCGTAGCGAAATGGCCGTTGGGTGTACTGCTCAATCCCTTCTTTGTTTACGCTGCTTGACATTGTCCTCCAGCGATGAAAAGCCATTTGTGTGACCGTTTACTGCACTCACCGAGCCGTTCTGGTAATCTTTCCTCCTAGAAGAAGCTTTCTTGCTGTAAGTCTGGGAAGAAAACAACATAACTTTATTCCACTTCTCTTGGTGGTTTTTTGGTTAGTTAATAAATAGCGGACAATTTTACCTGGAAAAATACAAAATAATGAAACACAAAATTGACAAAGCACTTTAAAGGATGAACATTTAAAAATGAGGCCTACTTTAATTCATTTCTTTTACAAAAGTATACTTTGAATTTCAATAAAACTGTATTCTTTGAATACTGTGTAATAGGCAGCTTAAACAGTTTTTTTTTTATATCCACATGAATACAGCATCAAAATGTTTCTAAGTAAGGATTATTCTTTCCAGAAACATCTCTGTACAGGTTAACATTTAGGCAGCATCATTTTTAGTAACCATTGTTATATTTACTGTGGTACCCTCACCTTCCTGTTCTGTTGAAGGAATCTCCAGAAGTACAGGATACATCCTGGGATTGGGGTACATCTGACAATTCCCTGCCTTACCACAATTCAGTTGCACATGTGGTCAATCTCCAGGCCGAAGCATTTTCACATCACAGTTCAATTGTACCATTTTTGACTTTTACAAAGTTGAAACTTGCAACAAAATTCAAGGGAGCTCTCGCCGAAGTACTTTTCGAAATAGGAATGTCGTTCAGGCAAGTGTAGGTACCTGCTTGCTAATAATACTGCTGCTTACATTAAAACATGTCTACCGTTCAGGTGTCCTTTAGGAAACAAATACAATTGTTTCCTTAAAGGAATGGGGTTTTCTTTTTTTTTTTTTTTTTTTCAAATGTTCAGGATCAGGCGCGCCCTTATTTTGATCCTGATTTCACTAAATGGTAAAGCCCTGACCTACACAAGCATAAAAGACTATACATTTACTTTGATTCAGCTAGCAACAGTTTTACATTTGTATTTTGTTATAGCTTTGATTCGATAATGACTGCCATCTCCTCTCAACAATAATAAGGTGAAGCTATATATTAAATGACATATTAGGGTCATTTCCCTACAACATACAGTAACTCTTGTAGTATTTCTTACCATACACTGTTTGCTAGTTTTAAAGATTCATCTCTTTTTTTTCTCAATAGAGAACTTTTTTTTCCTCAAAGTCAATTAGTGCAACCAATGTCTGCAGCATTTTACTGTAACAGTCAACTAACTAAATTAAACACAGATTATCATCCCTTAAAATACTCCCCGACACAGAATTTACTGAAAAGAAAGCAGGCGCACACTTGTGACCTCTGGAATCCAAGTCAGCAAATAACTGGGTGACTGGGGGTGACAAAAGTCACTGTAGAATGGAAATAAATCAAAGATCAAAGTTTCACGTGGTTCTTTGTAGCATGAGCAGCAGCAGACTGATAATTCTTCTGTATGGCAGAAAAAAAAGTGCAAAGCACGTGCAAAACTTCACCCAGCAAATGATATCAGCATTCATTTCCACAGCATCTGGAAAGTGTTCTACACAAAACCCTGTGCTTGAAGGCTGCTTCCAGGCTATCCATGCAACATCCAGTCAAATAGGATTTGGAAGAGTTAGCCAAAAGCCAGGTTGGGGACAGCAGTGTTAGACAGATGCTAATTGAAGACAGGAGTCCTGATTGAGGAAAAAAAAACAAAAAAACAAAAAAAAAAATAGTTGGTTCATCTTTACTTCAGCAAAGCTGGAGAACAGACATCCATCCTCCTAGGACACTGCAGGAATTTTCAATTTAGATCGCCTGAAGCCTGGGACATGTAGTTGAAGCAGCAGGGCTCACAAGTCAGGTGGAACCATTTGGATGGCTGCGCTGCCACAAAATTGCTTCCACACAGCCCACTACAATGCCAGCCTCTGCCCACCTGCCCACTATGTCTCCCGGGCTCTGCTTGCCCATCTGTGGGCCCAGTTCAGCGGGTGCCGGCAGATGTAGGGGAGAAACGAGAGCGAAAAAGTCTTGACGTGCCTCGTCACAACGTCACTTCTGGGTCCCAGTTGACAGATTGCCGCCCATCAAGGCCGAGTAAAAATGTAATGCGGTGCGATGTGCACTGCATTACATCCAGTGGAATACAGAGGAGGCATCCAGAGTCTTTTAGGCCCTGGATGTCTCAATAAAGAGAATCTGTCACCAAAAATCAACACTGTGATGATTTAAAAAAAAAAAAAAAAAGTTAAGTAGAAATATATATACTTTTTTATTCTTTTTAGTTGTAAAAAAAAAAACTTACACCCAAAACACATAACCCCCCCCCCCCCCTCCCAAAAAAAAAAAACAAAAATCTTTGAGGCACCCCCCCCACCCCAAACACACATACAAATGTAAAAGCACACACTGGGGTGCCTATGCTTGAAAACATCAATTGAGATACAAGTTACTTATCGCCACGCAGGCCAGAATGAGAGCAATGATTCTAGCACCAGACCTCCTCCATAACACTAAACTAATGGCCTATAAGGGGCTTTAAAAGCGTTGCCTATAGAAAATAGAGGGTGCTAAGGTTTGTCACCGTTTCACGAGTGCATGGAAATTTAACATATTGGATATCTATTTACTCAGTGCAACCTCATCTTTTATATTTTACAAAAAAAAAATGGTTCATTTATGCTCTTTTGTGCACCTTTGGGGTAATATTGTGTGACATAAAAAATTGGAACTACCATTTTATTCTCTAGGGTGTATGCATTCAGAAAATATACAATGTTTGGGGGGGTTTGTGTAATTTTCAGGCCTAAAATGATATTTTAAACATGTGCAAAAACTGCAAGTTTTCAAAAGCCCTAGACATAAAAGCAACTCATATTTAAATATGGATTTGGTTATAAATTATTTATTTTTTTATCTGAACTACTAGTTTGTCATGAGGGACAAGTAGATTGGGATATCTATTTAGTCCCTGGACAAGTAGTTTTTAAAAAAAAATTTCATTACCCTGCAATAACAAAAATCTGAGGCATGATAGAAGCAGGGGGGGATATCCTGGGCTGGCCAACAGTTTAGTGCCCTTTAATAACTGGGGTAGGTGGCAGTATAACTCAAAGGTTAAAGACTTCCTGTGTTCCTCAATGGACAGAAATGAAAGATGTTGCCGACTGTCTGCAAAGTCAATAGCTAAAGTCCTCCAAACTTCATGTGGCCTTCAGATTAGCACAACAGTGCGTAGAGAGCTTCATGGAATGGGTTTCCATGGCTGAGAAAATGCATCCACGCCTTACATCATCAAGTGCAATGCAAAACGTTGGATGCAGTTGTGTAAAGCATGCCACCACTGGACTCTAGAGCAGTGGAGGTGTGTTCTCTAGAGTGACGAATCACGCTGCTCTGTCTGGCAATCTGATGGACGTGTCTGGGTATGGCGTTGCCAGGAAAACAATATTTGCCTGATTACATTGTGCCAAGTGTAAATTTTGGTGGAGGGCGGGATTAAGGTGTGGGGTTGTTTTTCAGGGGTTGGACTTGGCCCCTTAGTTCCAGTGAAGTGAACTCTTTAAGGCGTCAGCATACCAAGACATTTTGGACAATTTCATGCTCCCAACTTTGTGGGAACAGTTTGGGGATCACCCCTTCCTTTTCCAACATGACTGCGCACCAGTGCACAAAGTAAGGTCCATAAAGACATGGATGAGCAAGTTTGGGGTGGAGAAATGTGACTGGTCTGCACAGAGTCCTGACCTCAACTCAATAGAACACTTTTGGGATGAATTAGAGTGGAGACTGAGTAAGGCCTTCTCGTCCCACAAATGCGCTTCTGGAAGAATGGTCAAACATTCCCATAGACACACTCCTAATCCTTGTGGACAACCTTCCCAGAAGAGTTGAAGCTGTTATAGCTGCAAAAGGATGGGCCAACCCAATATTGAACCCTCCGGACTAAGAATGGGATGCCATTAAAATTCATGTGTGTGTAAAAGCAGACATCCCAATACTTTTGGCAATATAGTGTATTTTTGTTTGCAAATAAACCATTTTACAGATAAAATTGTCCCAAGGTAAAATACAAAACACAGTTAAAAACAACTTAAACGGTGAATTGACCTTACGGTCATGTAATACCTCTATACATTATTGCAGCAGTGGGTTTTTACCTTAATGTAGAAATTGGTGAAGAGGATGATCAGAGAGATCATGTAGCAGTTCTGGAAATACAGCCAACCCATTGGGAAAGCACAGCGCCAAATCATCGCACAGCTGGTCTGGGTCATTGTCAGGACAAATTGAGTCTGTAGCAAAATAACAAAATTGCAGGGGGTCAAATTCAGAACACTAGATTGTAAGCAGAGAAGAACCAATACCTTACAAAACGTATGCAACCTATGCTTCAAAATCAGACTTGGTGCACTATCACTCTGACCTTTGTCCTTTTAATAAATATATCTTGTGCATTGTAAATTTATAATTAGAATCCAGAAGCTTTCATATTGTGAAAGAAAGTCATATAAAAAAGGGGAACACACTGTACCAACACACAAATTTACACAGTACATAGAACTTCCTTTATAAATTAAATAACTCAAGCGCTTACGACGGTGAATAAAAAACAAAAAATACACACACACACACACACAAATAAATACTATAGCCGCTAGTGCACACAACCCATGGCAAATAAGAAGAATAAAGGTGAAGAAAAATGCTGCGCTAGGTTTTATTGCTTAATAAAAGTTTAAAAGGATAAAGCACTATGTGGAGTTCTTTTTAATGAGGAATACGGATGACACCAAGACGTTTATGAGGAAACATACTTTGGAGACCTCATTCAACAAGACGATCTTCTGAGTCCAATTGGGACCAAAAGTGCAGTTAGACCCTAGTATTGTACAATGTGAGGTCACACTGCGTGAGGTGAGCAGATATATGGTGGAGGATGTTTTCTCACTGGAATTTGTAACAGCTGCACATATTTTCGTTATCCACAGGAGGGTTTACAGAAGAACACTATTTTGATTGGACTTGAGTTTATAATGACTTTTTTGGGTGATTAAAAATAATTACTCTTTGTTTTGGTTTGGGTGATTCTTGGTTTTCGTATTAAATTTTTTATTTTTTCAAATTTTTTGATTCACAGGTATTGTGCAATTTTTTTGATGTAGCGCAGCATTTTTTCTTCACCTTTATACATAGAACGTCATTGATTAGAAGCTTGCAGTGAACTACTGGAAACCTATTTGTAACACAGCAAGATCCAGCTGTACTTAAATACAGTAAACAGCAAATACACATAACTAGATACTACAAAGTGCATGTTCACATTGAAAAGTGAATGTTGGTGAATAAGGTGAAACTGTGTTCACAATGAATGCCCAATCATTAAAAAAATACAGGATTTTGCTAGCACATGCTTGATATGGAAACACAGCTTTTCTTATTTACCAATATCAACTTTGCCAGGTGGACAGCCTAATATAGTAAATCGACCACAATGTAAATATTAGTGATTTGTATCTTAGCTGGGGTACTCCTTTAAAGTGTAACAAAAAGCAAAACTTATTTTCATTTGGATAGAGTAAGGGAGGGTTATAACCCCTGTCAGTTTTTTTTTGCCATCTGTGTTCCATTGGGGAGATTTCCCTTCAAATCCTGTCCCACAGACAGAACAGCAAGTGAGAACAAATCCCTCCAAAGCGAGGGAATCCCGGCCTGTCACCAGAACTGTTTCCATTGAAAGATTTTGCCTCTATTAGTGTTCTGGGTGCAATCCAAAATATGGGATTTTTTTCTTACTTTCAATGATAATAGTAAAAGAGGGTGAATCTCCCTATTGGGCACACATACAACACTAAAATCCTGACAGGTGTTCTAATCCCCTCTCCACACTATCCAAAACTAAAAAAAAAACTAAAAAAAAAAAAAAAAAAAAAAAGTTTTGCCTTTAGTTAAATTTTAACCACTTGCCAACCGCACTATAGCCAAATGACAGCTACAGCGCGGTTGTCCAGTTCTGGGAGGACGTCATATGACATTCTCCCAGAACGTGCGCACCTGGCGATCTCTGTGATCGCTGTGTCCTATGGATACAGCTGATCACGTGATGTAGTAAAAGGCCAATCACAGCGACCTTTTACCACGTGATCAGCCGTGTCCAATGACACAGCAGATCACCGGTAAATGCAGTTGCCGGTTATCGGCTGCACTTTTCTCACGCTGCCACAGCATGAGGAAAATACTGCCGATAACCGGCAATTGTTGAAGATGGATCAGCACTGATCATCAGTGCCACCCACCTGTGCGCAGCAGTGCCGCCAGTGCCACCCATCAGTGCCTAGTAGTGCTACCGACCTGTGCCCAGCAGTGCCACCCACCAGTGCCGCCTATCAGTGCCCATCGTTGCATATCAGTGCTGCCTCTGTGCCCATCAATGCCACCCATCAGTGCTGCCTATCAGTGCAGCCTCATAAACATGCATCAGTGAAGGAGAAAAATTACCTGTTGGCAAAAGTTTATAATAGAAACAAAGAAAAACTTTTATTTCTTCACATTTGTTGCTTTTTTTTGTTTATAGCGCAGAAGATAAAAACACCCAGCAGTGATTAAATACCACCAAAAGAAAGCTCTATTTGTGTAAAAACAATTATAAAAATGTCATATGGGTACAGTGTTACATGACCGCACAATTGTCATTCAAATTTCGATAGCGCTGAAAGCTGAAAATTGGCATGGGCAGAAAGGGGGTATAAGTGCCCGGTAGGCAAGTGGCTAAGTAATAAAAATAAATTATTGCTGACACCGAAAAATGCTGTTAGAATTACTAAGGAGTAATTCTTCAAAATGTCTACTGATAACTACTGTATTTGGGTAGTATTTGTGCTGTTAACAAGAGGATATGACTATCAAGGTCTAATTTGGCAATGGAGAGATACAGGTGGGTGGTGTTTTCCTAGACAGCCAGGACACGGGAAAAAAACAAAACAAAATACAGACGTGAAAGCTTACCAACTGGCACTGAGTGATGTACCTCTTCCACCACAGATATGGGCGCATGGCTGGAATAGCGGACAGTCCATAGTAGGAATACATGAGAACATGAATAAAGCTGTTGAGCGTAGCACCAAAAGTAAGCTGGAAAACAGAAATAAAGCAGTAGGTGATATACACGGATGACAGCCTATGCACAGTAAAAGCTCTTATTCTTACCCAAGAATTCCTCTATTTCATCTCTTCTGAACTTTGCTGTTGCTCGCAACTTAAAATGCATATGGTTGGGTATTCCACTGAGCCAAGTGAAAATTCACTTTACAAAGTGAACATACATCTCACCTTTAGTAAATGAACGACATTGTGTCATTCAGAAAAAAATCTTTCCCCATGACAGTTTTCTAGCAGCAGGGAGGCTGCACAGCACAGAATGAATGGCAAGACAGGACAAGCCCTGCCCTGCTCTGAAAGCACTGTTCCATGAGGGTGACAGAGTCAGAGGAAATTCACATTAAGGTAAATTGATAGGATCTTCTGACTTTAGCACAGCTGCTGCAATTCCTAGATAGTATATTCAAGCTACCAAATATTATTGAAAAGTATTGCCTGCAACTATTTTATAACCAATCAGTCGTAATGCATTTTTTTCTCTGCATTAAAGTAAACAAAAGCCTTTCAAAAGCTGCCCCCCCAGCTTTCCCTGAAACACGTACTGGAGCCTGAACTTGATCTAGTACTGTGCATGTCTGTAGCAGCTCTTCTCCCCCCTCTATCTTCTCACAGGAGACTCAGCAAGAGAGGGAGCCATTGGTTCCCACGGCTGTCAGCCAGATCATGTGAGGAGGGAGCGGGGTCGGACTGCACTGTGTGTGTTTTTTGGGCGCGCACAACCCACCTTGGGCTTAAGCCTGCACAAGATCCCTCAACAGCAAGCAGCTTCCTAAGGGGGGACTCAGAGAAGAGGAGGAGCTAAGATCGCCAGCAGGCAACCCCAGAAGTGGAGGTTCGACACCGCTCTGTGCAGAACCACTGCACAGAGCAGGTAAGTATAACATGTTTATTGTTTTCAGAAAAAAAAGCAGCTTTAAAAATCGCTTTAAAGAATTAGTTCCCCCTTTTTACTAGCTTTTCCCAAAAACCTCCCTACAATGTCCTTAAAGTGGCTGGAAACCTCAGACATGAAATATGAACAAAGCATATCCTTCTATAGTGTATATTTGTCTCAATCCAGAGCACTGAATGTAACTCCTGTCTACTGCTTCATCCCTCTGGTATCAGCTTGAGTCACTTCTGACAAGTTTTCCTGACACCAAGAGTAAAATGGCGACAGGGGAGGGGCCTCCAGCAGATTGATAGCCTCAGCCCTGTTCCTGTGTGCCATGTGGAGGAGGATGCGTCTTTTCCTTCCAATCAGTTCTCAGAGTTCTCCTCACTGAGCTCTGCAGAGTGTAAATCCAGCTCCCTCCCTGTTTTCTGAACTCTCATGTTATCATTTCAGCACTTTAAATAGTGTAGAGAAGCAAATATGCAGATAACCAGGTACAACGTAATGTAGGAGGAATTGTTTCATCTCACTGTATCACCTGAGGTTAGTCACTTCACTGGGTATTTGTAAGTTTTTACAACCACTCTGGTACATGAATATGATGTGTTACAAATAAATGTTTGCTTTTCAAGCTGCTCCTTAATTGTCCTCTCCTCTTCCTCCTGCAGATGGCAGGACATATCAGGTGTTGGATGTGTGGCCCCAGAAACTCGTTATTGCCACAAAAGTTCATAAAGGTGTGATGGTTGGGTGTCTACACATCTTTGCCCATACAGTGGGGGTTATTTACTAAAACTGCATGGTGCAAAATGTGACGCAGCTCTGCACAGAAACCAATCAGCTTCCAGGTTTTATTGCCAAAGCTTAATTGAACAAACTGAAGTTAGAAGCTGACTGGCTACCATACACAGCTGCATCAGATTCTGTGTCCCCCAGTGTATTGGACATTTATTTAGGAGGCACTATCATTAGGAAATGTGTATCCTAACAGTGACTTTTAAAAGATAAAATCTAGGTCATTATACCATTTAACTACTTGCTGTCCGGCCCATGTATATAAATGACCGGGCGGTGGCAGTCCAGGGGCGGGTTGCTGTTCATAAACGGCACCTGCCATTTTGGACTGTGCACGCTCCCTGGGAGCGCTCAGCACCACGATCCAGTGCCCGCTGTGTCCTCCGGACACAGTGGAACACCGATCGTCATACGGGACCTCTGTGCGAGGTCCCGATCATGTGATCACTGATTGGCCAATCAATGATCACATACAGAGTAGTAAGCAAGATGTCACTTGCTGACATCATTGCCTACTACGTGTGAAATCTGTGAATGATCACAGAGGTCACATGGTACAAGGATATTCACAACAGCCTTGTACCATGTGACAAGCTGTGACCAATCACAACTCACAGTATTTCTCAATGGCTACAAGTGTCCGGACTGGACATATTCATGTTAGTTTGATTACAGAAGAACATAGCAGATTGATAACCTCATTGGTGTGGTGATGTCTCCTTACCATGTAACAAGCTGAGTAGGGGAGTGGATAAAAGGGAGGTCACCAGCATGTCTATGCTGTCCAACAGTGGTAGCAGAATAACAAGACGGGCTTAACAATGTTACAAACCTTTTTGTAAGTAAAACTGTTTCTATGCATGTGTTTTTAACTGTGTATTTAGCAATTTGCCTGAAGCTCAGATTTACAGGTCTATAGTTTTCTAGTGTATTCTAAACAGGGCTGGAAAAGACCAGAATCATATCAGGTTATCAAGACAGGTTTTATGACTAAAAACAGTAGCTAATCTTGTCATGTAAGTAGCTGCACGATGATGTAGAATTATTTTTTTTAAAAAAGGTTTTTAAAAGAAAATGAGATGACTTCATGATGTAGGTGGTATTTCCAGTTTAACTAGTGGTCACATAACTAGGTTCCTCCTACATGAGATTCTTTTTATGAAGGTTACTGAAAGTGATAAGGGAATTGCTTGTAAATGTGTAGAAAATCAAGACCAGCATATTCTAACATTTCACATTAGCTTTATTACCCTGCAAAGACAGAAATAGTGGAGGGTCACCACATGATAGACAATATGCAGCAGATATCACCCCTTAAAGTGGAACTATAATATTTAAAAAAATTGCAAGCAGGCAGACATTTTATTGCAGAAGAGACATGCTATGTTTCCTCGGTAATGAAAACAAACCTACCTGCCTGCTCACAGCCTGCTATAGAATGTACAAAGAGCAGTGCATATGCAGTTCAGTTTACATGTCAGCAGTGCCCCCATGTGCTGGGATGGCTGCACTCCTGCACATGCGTGAAAGAGATGCTGTTCTGCGCCAGCCAATCAAGATGGCTGAAGACCTATACCTGGAAGAAGATGCAGATGTGGGACCTAGTGGACGTTGGACCGTTGAAGCAAAAGTGAGAGTATCACTGAGTTTAGTTCTGTTTTAATGCTTTTGTGCAGCATGTGCACAATTTATTGCAGAAAAGCTTGCTAGATGTTCCACTGAATAAACAGCAGGTGGTATGGTGGCATGTCAGGTGGCATAGAGATATAGAATAGGGAAGGGTTAAAACCCCAGATTCTTATTTTTTTAGGGGAGATTTTCTTCCACTTCCTGCTCCTGCAAATGGAAGTGAAAGGAAAGCTCTACAAAATTAGTAAAATTCTGCTCCTAAACTGATGTCACTAAAATGTGTCAACTTTGGGAGATTTTCCTGTACCTTTTTGTGTGACAACTCTAAAACTCCAGGCCCAACAGAGGGGCGCATCTTCCACAGCAGTGACATAGCCATCAATCAAAACTTAACAAACAGTCCATTTCTTTCCCACTCTATCCAAAAGAGCAAAAAAGACAAAAAAAATGTGATCACTTCTTTATAAGGCCATAAAAGCAGGCCTAGCCAAAAGATGTGTTACTGTATATCTTGATTTCGTAGTGTTTTGCCAACACTAGAACTTTTACTGACACAGACAACATATGACTTCCATTAAAACTATTGTTTGTGTGGTTTACTATACCGTAAGAAGAGTATATGAATCACCCAGTAACACATTTGCAGAGGTTAATGGATACAATGACTTTATTGTTTAATCATTATTTCAAGATGTGACTAACATCAGACACTGCTGTCCAAAAAGCAGTGTCAAGATTTCAGAGCCTGGAGAAACCATGGGAGATAGACAAGCAACGGGGGGGGGGGTCTGCATAAAAAGGACATGGACCAAGGGCTAGAGGCTAGTATTTGCCATCTCAATGACAAAGCTTGGAGCTGAAAACTGTAGCAAAGAAAACTAAGACAAACCTACGGCTACTTAGTCTTTGCTGCCACCTCCTGTCAATTTGGTTTCCTTTTTTAACTTGGCTATAAAACAAAAAACCTAACGAAGCGTCTTACCAGAAAAAAAAGCAGATTTAGATTGAGATTGAAAACATTTATATAGGGTGACACGGGTTTTCCACCACCATGTTTTGTGGGAAAGGTATTTATTTCTGGCCACAATCACCACAGGCTAATATTGGATGTGCACAAGTTGACACTGCAAAGCTTTTAATACATAGCAAATATGAAGAAAACTGTGATAAACAGATGTCAGACAAAAACCAAGCAGTGTTCAGTACTGTAACACTCATCTCAAGGTACTTACAGTGTCCGCAAGGTACCCAGTTCATGACAAACCACCAAATGTTAAGCATAGAGGCGTGATGGTAAACATGCAGGACGGTAATTTGGTGGTTATTTTTGCGGAGGATAAAGAAAAAAGTATCCATAAATTCAATGAGTTTGGAGAAGTAGTACCACCACAGGACTCGGACTATCTGTGAAACAAACAAGTACAGTATATTGGTGTTTATATAATAATAAAAAGAAATACCAGTAGAATGTAACTATTCAGGATTTGGTGCTTGACATACTGATACCTCTTGTTTGCTGGATATTTAAAAAATAAAGGATGCAGGGGGTGTCTCAAGTTCCAAAACATATGGCAGCCCTGGCTAGACCGTTCTTCCACTAGTTCCTGAGGGGTGGTTCCAACCTGGCTGATATGGTTCTCCTGAATACACCTTCAACACCTACCTCTTCTTTTGGCCAATATCCATGTGTTTACTCAGGTTTACTGTATAGTCCCAATATTCCGTAACAGACAGCAGGCCAGGTGTGAGGCCTAGGTCAGATATTTTGTAGCAACCATAGCTATAGGCTTTTGCTCTTAAGGAATCGAAGTCATGTTACCCCAGGGGGCCAATTAGGGGGCTCCTAATTTACTCGAGAGTAGTGTACCTCACAGGGGTGTTGCCTAGATTGGGAGGGGGGGGGGTGAAGTTTGTAAAGCCTCCGGGCCTATGTAACTGATTATATGTTTTGAATTTTCTATGTACAACCTGAGCCCTGCAGGCCATGTTGGATTGTTGGTTGATGTATTTATTGCTGTTATTTTTATGTTTTGACGTAAATTTACAAATATAGGATGACGACTTTAACCCTTCCCAACTCCATCCAAAATGGAAAAAAAAAAGGGCTTTAAGAAATCCCGTCAGTCACTCATCATAAACAGGAGACTGGATAAATCTGCAAGCAAACAGATTCACACTTTGTGGATAACCTGATCTGTTAAAGGATACATTCACCTTTAAAAAAAAATAATAAATGCACATCTTTTTGCAGATAAAAAAAATGTGCATTTATTATTTCTGTTATTGGGAGCCTGTAAAGCATTGCACCAGCGATCAGCAGATCACAGTTTTAATGCACAGCTCTTGCAAACTATCAGTGTAATCTGTCTGCTCGTACCTCGTGCAAGCAGCAAGATGTTACATGTTACACCCTGAAGCTCCATGCGCACTGACTTACAAATGAGCTAGTAGCAGCTACTTCTGAGAGGTTTTTTTTTCTGCCTCTAGAAACAAATAGTGTTATTCTATGTGTCCATAGCAATTTAACAGCAGAAAAAATATGAACGCTCCTAAACACTGCTAACTGCTGTTAAGAGCCAGTTTCCAGCATTTTTTACCTCTCTTAGCGGTGGACGCTGGCATCCTTAACAACCAGTAAATAGCTGATTGTAAAGGAGCATGCTAGCAAGCCAGCCACCGCATCCATAACAGATGACTCATCAGCTGTCAGCTGGGTTCTCCACTGACAGCTGAATGTAAACACAAATTGCCGGCAATTAAAATGTGAGAAACGAAAACAGCATGAGTGTCCCCACCAATCCATACCAGGCCCTACGGGTCTGGTATGGATTTTGATGGGAACTCTACTCCAAATGTAAAAAGAATGAAAAAGAAAAAATGCCATTGGGGTCCCCCCCCAAATTCATACCAGACTATTATCCAAGCATGCAGCCTGGCAGGCTAGGAAAGGTGGGGTGTAGGATGAGCGAGCGCCCCACCCTCCTAAATCATACCAGCCCAAATGCCCATCGGGGGGGTGATTTGGGACAGAGGGGCTCTTCCCCCCTTTCCTAGCCTGCCACTCTGCATGCTCAGATAAGGGTGTGGCATGGATTTGGGGGGGACCCTATGCTGTTTTGTAAAACAATTTTGGCATGGGACTCCCTCAAAATCTGTGTGTTGGATGGAGGGGTCCCCATGCCTTTTTTTTTTTTTTTTTTTTAAATCTTGACACAGGGTTTCTCTTAAAATCCATACCAGACCAGAAAGGCCTGGTATGGATTGGGGGGCAGGACCCCCACACTTTTTTTCATCTAAAATTTGAACTGTGGGTAATTCTATTGTTTACATTTAGCTGTCAGCAGTGAAATGTAAACATTTAGCTGCCAACAGCTGGTCGCTAGGGAGTGGGCATCAAGCCAGCCACCCGCATCCTTAACAACCGATTACTCATCAGCTGTTAGCAGGGTTCCCTGCTGACACCTAAATGTAAACAATAGAATTGCCGGCAATTATAATTTGAGGAAAAAAAAAAACAGTGTGGGGGGCCCCCCCCAAATCCGCACCAGGCCGTTCTGATTTGGTATGGATTTTAAGGGAAACCCTATGTCATCAGCTGTTAGCAGGGTTCCCTGCTAACAGCTAAATGTAAACAATAGAATTGCTGGAAATATGGATTTTGAGGGGAGCCCCATGCCAAAATGGTTTTACAAAATGGCATGGGGTCCCCCCGAAATCCATAAATCTTGACATAGGGTTTCCCTTAAAATCCATACCATAATCTATTTTCCCCAAGTTAGTGTATGTGTCTCTGTAAATATACACACACACACACACACACACACACACACACACACACACACACACACACACACATATATATATATATATATATATATATATATACACACACACACACACACACACACACACACACTAAATAAATGAATATATAGGTTGCACAGGCAGTCCAACTCCTACAGTATGGCATATCAATACATGCCATTGCAAAAAGTCTCAATAGCATGGCGGAGATTCCAGGAGACAGGCAGTTACTCTAGGAGAGCTGGACAGGTCCGTAGAAGGTCCTTAACTCATCAGCATTACCGGTATCTGCTCCTTTGTGCAAGGAGGAACAGGATGAGCACTGCCAGAGCCCTACAAAATGACCTCTAGCAGGCCACTGGTGTGAATGTCTCTGACCAAACAATCAGAAACAAACTTGAGGTTAGCCTGAGGGCCCGACGTCCTCTAATGGGCCCTGTGCTCACTGCTCGACACCATAGAGCTCGATTGGCATTTGCCATTGAACACCAGAACTGGCAGATCCATCACTGGTGCCCTGTGCTTTTCACAGATGAGAGCAGGTTCACCCTGAGCACATGTGACAGACGAGAAAGGGTCTAGAGAAACTGTGGAGAACATTATGCTGCCTGTAACATCGTTCAGCATGACCATTTTGGTGGTGGGTCAGTAATGGTCTGGGGAGGCATATCCATGGAGGGACAACCAGACCTCTACAGGCTAGACAATGGCACCATGACTACCATAAGGTATCAGGATGAATTCCTTGGACCCATTTTCAGACCCTATGCTGGTGCAGTGGGTCCTGGGTTCCTTCTGGTGCACAATGCCTGGCCTCATGTGACGAAAGTTGCAGGCAATTCCTGGAGGATGCAGGAATTTACCTAAATCCAATAGAACACCTCTGGGATATAATGTTTCGGTCCATCTGACGCTGCCAGGTTGCACCTCAGACTGTCCAGGAGTACGGTGACATCCTGGTCCAGATCTGGGAGGAAATACTCCAGGGACACCATCGTCTCATTAGGAACATGCCCCGACGTTGTCAGACATGCATACAAGCACGTGGGAGGCTATACAAACTACTAAAGTACCATTCTGAGTTGCTGCAATGAAATTTCAGCAAAATGGACTAACCTGCTGCATAATTTTTTCACTTTGATTTCAGAGTGTCTTTGAATTCAGTCCTCTGTAGGTTGATAATTTTCAAACGATGGGGCATCCTTACATTCCTAACATACTGCCCAGTCCATATCAGTATAGATATCCAGCATATTTTTCCCCATTGAGATGTGTTTTCAAAGTGTTCCTATATATATATATATATATTTATTTATTATATTATATCTCTACCAGGTGGATAAGGCTTGCTTTGTTAAGATTTGTCTACTTTATTGTAACTCCAGACCAGAAGCATTTTGCCGGTAGTTTATTGTTTAAAGCCAACCTAAACCCCGTTTTTTTTATTGCCCACTGTGCCAGCATGCAATCTGGCAGAAAATCTTCTCACCTAACAATCCCTCTAGGTTCCCTCTGAGTGCAAGGCCTGGCTTTTGCCAAACCAGCCTACGAAATGACTCTTTCTGCCTGGAACTGTGACAGCAGACACATGAACCCCATAGTCGTGATACCTGCAGCTTGAGGGAGTTATGAAGTTTAGTTCTGGCATGACAGATTCAATTTCATTATTCTCAGCCTAAGCAGCCAATAGCATGTCTCTTCCTGAGCTGAGACATGCAGATGGTAGGAGCCTTGAGCAGTTATGTGAGGATACAAATGCTTCATTGCAAAAATACAGGTCAACAGAAAAGTGGATGCAAAAGCATCAAAGCTGGTTTTGCCTATGCTTTAACAGATCCATCAATTTCATCTCCGACTTTTGCCATTTCTTTCTTGTTCACCGCATATATTTTTCTTTGCAATCCTATCGAATGATTAAAGGAATGGCAGTTGCTAAACAACAAGGTAATTTGCTTTTGGCAGGGTTTCTGCTTCATCTGTCCTGAAGGAAGCTGCATGCTGACAGATGATTAATTGAATTCAGTTAGCTCAAATTTTCCTTTTACCATAATATGCTGTCTGTAAATACATTTCCTGAATGACTCCATGGCAGCATACATATGGGTAGACCCTTGTCTCACTTCTACCCTATAGCACCCCATTTCCATACAGTAGGGAAAATAATTATTTTATCCCCTGCAGATTTTGTAAGTTTGCCCACTTACAAAAAAATGATGGTTCTAAAATTGTTATCATAGATGTTTTTAAATGATAGAGACAGAATATCAACGAAAAGTACAGAAAAAACACATGATACAAATGTTATAAATTGAGTTGCAGTTCAGTGAGTAAAATAAGTATTTGATCCCCTACCAACCAACAATACAGTCAGGTCCATAAATATTGGGACATCGACACAATTCTAACATTTTTGGCTCTATACACCACCACAATGAATTTGAAATGAAACAAACAAGATGTGCTTTACCTGCAGACTGTCAGCTTTAATTTGAGGGTATTTACATCCAAATCAGGTGAACGGTGTAGGAATTACAGCAGTTTGCATATGTGCCTCCCACTTGTTAAGGGACCAGAAGTAATGGGACAATTGGCTTCTCAGC